CCTCCCTCGGCAGTGCTGCCATCTCTCCCGCAGCCAGGGCTCTTGGAGCCCACGTCGTGTCTGATCCGAGTGTCCAAGAGCGCACCCACCCTGGGGATCGCCATCGAGGGCGGAGCGAACACGCGGCAGCCGCTGCCCCGCATTGTCACCATCCAGGTAGGGCAGGCTGAGAATGGGAAGAACTCGATGCACATCTCCTCCCTCTTCTCCCTGGACAGGCTCAGGAAAGCCCTTCAGCCTAGCCACGGCTAGAGCGCAGCGGCAGCCCTGCCCCAGGGGGGGATTTTGGAGATGTGCTTTCCCCCTCCTATAGCCCTGCATCTCCCCAGGCACCAGAGGTGTCATTCTCCTGGGGGGGGGCAGTTTGCCAAGGATTGCATTCGTGTCCTGTGGGTGATCCCGTACAATAAAGCGCGTCCTGGGAGCCAAGGATTTGCTGCAGACATTTTGGAGGGGGTCTGGGCAGCCCTGAAACCTTGGCTGGTGTCTCCAAATGTCTGGAAACTCCCTTTTTTCTGCTTCAGATAGAGGACTGGGGAGGGGGAATGGTGGCTGATAGCTGGGGAATGAAGCCCTTGGGAGCTGTCTCCCCACACTGTTTCCTCTGCTGTTTACTTGGGGCAAAATTCAAGTTATTTACAGCAAAAGAAAAGCAGAGCTGACTGCGTCTTGGTTATTCTTGGCCATCGCAGCTGGCGCTGTGCTCCAGGAGCAAACGGGAGGGAAGCCAAATTCGTCCCCTCTTTCTGAAATGTCAGATCTTTCATTTCCCATTTTCCCAAAAACTGCATGTGTTTCATCCCTGGGTTGAGCCGGGGTGGGGTGGTGGGAGCATGAGCTGACCACCTCTCTCCTGCAGCACGGGGGCTCGGCGCACAACTGTGGGAAGCTGAAGGTGGGCCACGTCATTTTGGAGGTGAACGGCACGGGGCTACGGGGCAAAGAGCATCGGGAAGCCGCCCGTATCATCGCTGAAGCCTTTAAGCTGAAGGAAAAGGACTACATTGATTTCCTGGTCACAGAATTCAACGTCGCTCTTTAGGAACCCAAAGGGGTTTTGGGAGAGTGGCTTTGGGACGGGGAGCACCCGAATGGGGATGAAAGGCAGCGCCGAGGTGTGAAAGCAGCATCCCACCACGCAGAGCCCTCGCCCACTGTGCCACCCTGCACGCGCAGACACCCCCAGCTTGTCCCCAAATGTCCCCTCACCCACTGCAGACTCTCACTGCCTGGGTAGGGCAGGCTGAGAACGAGCAGAAATCAGTGCACATCCCTTAAAGTCCATCCCTGTCCTCTCTGGAGTCGGAGGGGCTGCCCTTTGGGAACAGCCTCTACCCTTCAGTCAGCCAAGGGAGCAGGGCTGGAGGATGGCAGAGGTCTGGGTGTCCCCGCTGTCGTTCGAGTGCCACATGCAGAGCAAGGTGGCCCGTGACTCAGGCTGCAGGGGTTTTGAGGTGGTCACTGCTCCCTTGGGTGCTTGCCGCCGTGTCCAGGTGGGTGGCACGGGCCACAGGTGGGGATGCAGAGAGAGCAACTGGAGGCCTTGTAAATTGCTGGCAGTGTCGTCGTTATTTATGTATATACAGAGCTTGTGCTTTTAATTTTTCAATAAATCTATCAGGTTAGAAAAAGGCTGGGCTTGTGGGGATTTCTTGTGGGCCGGTACACGGGGGATGGGAAGGTAAGGGGCAGGGATGGCTGCGGGGCACCCGGCACTGGCAGGGCAGGTGGCAGTGTGGTGGCGGTGGGCATCCCATCGGGGCAAAACTGCCCCACCC